TGATGTGGTGGAATTATATCTCTCCATTCCGATTGACAGAGCAATTCCTTTGAATAAAGGTATTTTAGGCAACTTTAAAAAAAGAACCAAATTAACTTTTAGTGATATACATGAAATGATCGAACTCTGCCTCAACCAATGTTATTTCTTAAAAGAAAATGAAAGAAGATCTATACCGAATTCGGGACCTATATAATTGTCCTAAATGGTCGTAGATGCTGAGGTATTTTTGCGCCATTTGGAGACTAAAGCTCTTATTATTGCTGAAGTTGGTCATTTTTCGCCAAAGACTTACAGAAGGTATGTAGATGACAGTCACGCAAGATTCGACTCATGATAAATTCCAGGAGTTGCTAAATAAACAAGATCCATCAATAAAATATACTTCAGAAAAGGAAAAAAAAAAAAAAAGAGTTTAACTTCTTGGATATAACTGTAACCAACACTTATGACTTATTCTATAACTTCAAAATTCATCGAAAGTCGGCTTTCACTAATACAAAGATAAAACCAATGATGAGTGTTTTTGTATCTCGTGCCATCAGTATTGGTTAAAATTAAAATAATTAAAATAAAATTTGTTCCACAAAGTATCTTATTGATGAAATACAGTTTTTAGTAAACATGTTTGTAGAAAAAGGACACGATAGATTAAAACTTAAAACAACTGGTAAAAACTATATTCAGAAAAGAAACAACCTGTTTTAAATAAACTATAGTAAAACAGAAACAAGTAAATACAGTTAAGCTTCCATGACTCCCTAGAATATGTCCAAAACTTAGAAAAGAACTTAAATACTACAACGTCAGAATAATTTTTACTACACTACCTACGTTAAAAAACATCTTATTCAACAACAAGTCAACGTTAATTTTTAATAGCAATCCCGGTGTCTACAAACTCACATGCTCTTGTGGCACTATATACATTGGCATTTCTTTTAAAAGGTTAATGGGATGCATCTGGTGGAACTGAACACGGTAGAGAGTATAATCGTATGTTTGATTAGTCAAATCCAAAAATTCTAGCAATAAAGTCAGAATACAATGAACTTAAAATTAGAGAATCACTTGAAATTAATTACGCATTAACATGCCAAGAAATAAATTATGCTCATATACTTCTCAACCGTGACAATGGCGTTAAAATTTCTACAGACAGTTGAAGACCCTTTTTTAAAATTATTATCCAAAAAAATGGACTCAAATAATATTTGCTCATTAAAAATTTACGTTGTTACGTATAATTTCTGGCTTTTTTTTAGTGTCTTCTTTGACGTTTTTATGTAATATTTGTAACGTTTTTTGTATTATATTTTACGTCTGATGACGATCTTTGCAAAAACAGGTTGAATTATTACAAAGAAAATTTTTTAACGATTATTGAACTATCATTTCTATGAAGTTTCCTCTCTTTATGCTTCTGAACTAGCGCAGATAAATTTGCTTTTATTTTTTCGCTATATTCAAACCAAATTATTTAAACACTTAGATGCTACTGCTAAACAACTCTTTGAAAAAGATATGAAACTACATCTCTATTTAAGAAAAAACGAGAGTCTGGTACGTAATCTAGTGACAATAAAAACAAAATAAATACCTATAGAAAAAATTATTTTTTAAATGATGTTAGATTATTGGGAACAAACAATGAATGTCAATGGGATAAAATATCTATACACGATATTAATGCGACTTGAGATGTTATGAACGAAGAAAACATTTATGTAAAAGAATGCGAAAATATTAACGAAAATTATTTTTTGGATGACAGAAGATTAAAAGATATAAATAATTTAATTTATATTCCTATAGATGATGTCATGACAAAAAAAGGGATAAAAAACCGCTTCATCCAAAATTTAATTTAAACAAAAAAAAAGGGAAACAAGTTGCACTGTGTCTAATGCAAAAAAAATTATTGAAGAAATATGCAAATCGTGCACAAGATATGGCGAAAATTTATATTTATAATTTGAAAGACACAAAGTTTATAAATTTATAAGAAGAATGCAAGGCTAACGTGATCAACGATCAAGTTTGGTAGGAAAATGTACCTGGGAAAATAGTCTTTTCAAATCAAAACAAAAAAAGTAACGTGTGATATTTGTCGTGGAAAGAAAAAAACTTTTATTAAGGTGATTTCCCTAGAAAAAAACTAATTTCTTTTATAGCAATAGCAAAATGTTTTTATGTCAATTTTTTAATACTAGAATTAAATACGAATTAAAAAATTGTAATTTTATAACAATATAGGCATTTTCTAAAGCTGAGTCATCATTTTTTTACTTTATGAGCAAAAATGAGGAGAAACTTGGGACACAATAATTTTAAAGCAACAAATGTATATAAGATGAAATTTGGTACAATGATAAATTTCATATATATCAATGGAATGAGCAAAAAAAAAATCTAGATACAGGCTTAAAAACCTATAATGGCGGTCTAAGTAAAAAAATTTTTAGAAACTTTAGAAACACTTTAGAAACCCTCTATATCAATATAAAATTAAAAAAAATTAAAGAATCAGTAATTATTTTTCGCTCAGGTTTTAGGTATATGTTTGAAAAAGGTTTCCTGAAAATTTCAAGTGATTAAGTTTAATATTTATTAAAATATGAGGTTTGAAAAACTTAAGGTGCTCGGTGTAGTTAAGGCACTATTAAAATAATAGAGCGTCTGAACGATATTTTGTTGACTGCGATATTTTTCCGTTAAATGGTCTGGTCTGTGAATATGAAAAGACGAAAAATCTTAAAATGATAAATTTTGCGGTATCATAAAATATAAATGTTTGTAGCGAAAAAATCCAGACTGATGATTCTTTTTTTTTTTTTAAATCATCTTAAAATCACAATCGCTCGTCCAAATTTAGATAAGATTATATATATTAACAAGTTTTTTAGGTGAAATGAACATTATAGTTTAACAATATAATCTGTTGTGATCGTTTATTGGTAATTGTCGTAAGAAAGAGTTTATAATTCCATAATAATAAGCTCTTACTTGGTCGGATTTCCAGTATTTTTTGTGAAAATTGATAGAAATATTGTGTTTTGACAACTATATATAGCTAATATACCTCAGAACCGATTAGAACTAGGATTAGTAGTAAATTAAGAAATTTTTTCCAAATTTTTTTCACTAAATTCATATTAATGCTGATGAGCGGAATCGATCTAAAGACTCCAAATCAGTGTTCTTTAGATACACTATTACGTGTAGTAAAAAGGTTTTGAAAATTATATAAAAAAAGAAAAGCTTCTTTAAATATTATAAAAACCTTAAGCAAAAAAAAATATAGCATTTAAAGATCTTGTTTGGACATAATATGTTGACAAAATTATGCTAATTCCAAATAAAAGTATTCGAATATTTTGTAAATCGCCTTAACTAGACCGAGTGGAAGCAGGGGATGACGTGTACAAATATTGACGTCATCATTAAATTTTTATGCAATTAGTGTTTGTTTTTTTAATAGTATATACCATTAACACTAGCCCCAGATTTTTTATATACCTAAAACCCCCAACGTGGATCAGTTTATTTTTTTTTATCCAACTTTAATTTTATATGCATTTAGACTTCTTTTTGTTTAAATGTATGAAACTAACAGTTAAAACTGTTAATTTTCATGTAAATTATAAAAAAAAATATAAATTTCTTTTACCTTACATATATATACATAGGTTTTATGCCCAAATTACGTCGTGTTTTACTCTAAGTAGATGCTTTTATATAGATTATGTAGCGTTTTCGATTTGAAGACATTATGAAAAACATTAGATTCGATATACGTTCAGAACAGAGAGAGCTGATAAATTTGCTCTTATGTCATGGGTGCTGACAAGATGTCAAAAACGTTGTTCGCAACTAAAGCTCAGTGTCTCTTTACACAGTATACGCTTAATAAACAGGATAAGTTCGGAATCAAATTCTGGATGTTAGCTGACCTAAAGACCAAATTATGTCTCAATATCAAACCGTATCAAGGTAAAGATGAAAACCGTGTAGAAAATTTGGGTACTAAAGTGATCATGTCATTAATGCAACTTTATTTAGGTCGCTAGTATAATGTTACAACAGATAACTTTTTTACAAGTGTCGGTATAGCAACAAAACATTTGCAAAAGAAAATGTCAAATTTTGGAACAGTTATGCATAATAGAAAAGAAGTTCCAGTATTTGATCTACTTCCACTTTACGATACAACTTTCAACAAAAATAGACCATTGAACTTGATTGTCTACCATGCAAAAAAAAAAAAACTGTTATTTTATTATCAACAACTCATAAAGGGGCGACTAAGTAAAGTGTTGGGAAGAAAAAACTAGAGGCATTACTTTATTACAATGCAAATAAATTGAATTGATATGTTAGATTCAATGTGACGACAAATGTCAACATAATCTGGGTGCAGACGCTAGCCGTTAGCTGTTTTCTTCAATTTTGGATCTGACCGATGTAAATGCTTAGATCATTTTTTTAAAAGTCACACAACAAAAAATTTCGAGATAAAAGTTGTTTCAAATTTTACCTGAACAGTTAAGAGAAACAATTTTTACTCCCTAGTTGGTGCTAACAGTGATACCACCCTAGCTACCAACAGTAATACAGCATTATCAACTTGTTTGAGTTGTCAGATAAAAAAAGACTGCTTAGTAATGTGACATCAACAGCAGTGCCGCCGAGACGGGGAGGGTAGCAAGGACAGCTTGTCCCGGGCGGCAGATATCTAAGGGCCGCCAAATAAAAAGAAGGTATCTACATAAAAAAAAGGTTCTTCATATATATTAGGAAATTTTTATAAGGGCGCCAATCAGGATTGCTGTCCCAGGCGGCGTGACGGCTTTTGGCGGCTCTGACCAACTTAACTCAGATAAAAACAGACTGCAAAGTAATGTGACATCAACAGCAGTGCCGCCGAGAGGGGGAGGGTAGCAAGGGACATCTTGTTCCGGGCGGCAGATATTTAAGGGCCGCCAAATAAAAAATAAATCTAAATAAAAAAAGGTCCTTCATATATATAAGGAAAGTTTTATTAGGGCGCCAATCAGGATTGCTGTCTCAGGCGACGTGACGGCTCTTGGCGGCCCTGATCAACAGTATGTGCAAATTGTATGAAACCTTTTTGTGGAAAGTGCTTGTCAAATATATGCAAAATTCCAATTAAACTTAATTATGTGACTAAAACTGTTATGTATATGCATACTCTCTATTAGGTGGATTTATTGATCCATAGGATTTTTAGGTACAAATATTTATAACCGCATCTCTGAATGTGGTTTTTATGCAGTTTTTCCGTAAATAATAACAAATCAGCAAAGTGTCAAAATTGTGTTTGGATCAATTGATCCACCTTGAGGCTTTCCATTCGTTTTCATAAAGACTAAAACAGTCAACTACAAGCTTATCCAACAGGTTTTTAGGTATTTGATTTTGACAAAACATGCACATTTTGGTTTTAACAAATTTTTCTAGTTTACACTCGTGGAACAGAGGCTCTGGTTCGCACTCGTGTTCCCACGTGTCTACTAAATTTATTTTTTTGCCACATCTAAAACAAACGTAAGATTGAGAAGTACAACATTTCTGTTGATGCTCAAGAAATTGATCGCCATTGATGGGTAACTTGCAATAATAGCAATATTCTTTGTCCATAGTTTTTGCCAATTATTTTTACTAAAAAAATAGTATTAGAATAAAAAAAAATTTATAATACTATTTTATTATTAAAAAGACATTTATTATTAAAATTATATTTATTATTAAAAAACAAAAAAAAATACATTTATGATTAAAAAATTTTTACTGCTCTATTTCCATAGGTTCATTTTATCAACATCTTTATCGTCATCGTTATCGTTTGTCTCATCATCTTCATCTGTGTCATCGTTATCATTTTTCTCATCATCTTCATCTGTGTCATCATAAGTGTCATCATCATATTCACTTTCCTAGTCGTCTTTTTCATCGATGATATCGACATTTTTTAAATTATATACTGAATTTCCATCTACAAAAAAAGCCTCGTACAGCTTGACTTGTTCTTATTTACTTTTAGTTTGTTCTGGTTTGCCATATCTGTAGATGGCTTTATTAACATTCTCGTAAACTTGCTCCATTTTTTATTAGGTATCTAAAGAAAATTACAATAAAAAAATTATTTAATTTTTATGGTTTCTTCTACTCAATTTTTTATTTTTACAGACAATTCTGTTAGAACATTTATTAAATAAATGCCAATCTAAAGTTTTTTTTCTTCGTCGTTTAACCATTTTTTAACAGTTTTTAATAAAAGTTAAAGATTATATATTTTTCATCAGGATTAATGTGAAAAATAGCGTAATCACTCAACATATTTTATCATAACTTCTATTGTAGTCGTTGCTAATGACTTTATTTTTCGATGTTTGCATATCCAAATAACTTGCAAATTGTGTCCAATAGGCTTCAAGATAAAATGCCATGTTATTTGTTAATTTAATTTCACTCATTTTATTTTATATAATTAAATCTATAAAAAATAAAAATTTTTTATAAATATATATTATTTAAAAAATATATATATTTAAAAAATGCCTCGCACAAGACATACACCTAAATAAAAAGCATAGTAGAAAATTATTTAAATAATCAAATTAATTTTGTACGTACTACTTGAAACTTGCAACACACGCAAACAGAAAATAGAGGGTTACCAAGCAATTGCAAAAATATATTAGTTTGTGTAAGAAAAACTAAAAAAACATATAAAGATAACAAATCTAATTGTAAATTTGGACGCATTGGTAAAAAAGTAAAGCGTTGGAAAATATCAAACGAAGCTTACGTTAATCGAAAACATGAAAGAAATGCAGCGTAAAAAATAAAAAAAAAGAAATAATAATAAAATATATTTTATTTATTTAAGTTTAAATTTAAAAATTGTAAGTCTTTTATAATTCTATTGTGTACAAATTTAATTACTCTTTTTCTATTTCGTCTTTTCTTTGCTTTATTCTTTTTTTTTTCTATAAAAAATTAAAAATATATGTTTTTTAAAAAAAAGAACTTTTATATAAATAGAAAAACATTTTATTAATTTTAAAATGTGGTTTCAATAATTTTAAAATGTGGTTCGTCAATGTTTTCTTTCTGTTCTTTTTTTTTCAGTTTTTTTATTTTGCACTTCTTTTATTTGCACTTCTTATTGTATGTAAACTGATAAATCTTCTAGATGAAATTCTAAATCATCTTCTATTACATCTAAATCATCTTCTATTACTATAGTTTCAATTACCATTTTTGTTCTCGGTAAATACTTTGTTCGTGCCGTTTGATTTTGTTATAAAAAAATGGGGCTTTTATCAAAAATATATAATCCTAACCGATTAAGTAAAATAAAAGAGTTTTATGACAAGGTAATTAAATTCAGAAACTCTTAATCTCGCTTTTAACATAAGCTTAAGTTAGGAAATTTTTAATTAAAAAGTATGCGCATACCACTTTTAAAAAACTCTGCGTAGAAAAAAATTTCTGCGAAAAGTGTTAAAATGACAATTTAAATGAATTTAAAACACGCTTAAACATCACGTCGACGTAGCCTAGTGCATCGTATCTGTTCCGCACTAAGTTGAAAACCGCCATGAGCCGATCTTTTAGGGTTCGAATCTCTCTTTATCTTAACGGCTTTGTCATTATATGTTAAAAACATTGAGACTTGGTGAGTCCGTCTAGAAAGTTTAGAAAGTTATATGTTAAACACATTGAGTCTTGATGAGTACATTTAGACTTAATGAGTCTGTCTAGAAAGTTTAGAAAGTTATATGTTTAACACAATGAGTCTCTAACAAAGATTTAGTGATTGCCCTCATTGAGACGCATAGTCTTGGTGATTGTCCTGAGCGTGTATGAACGAGCGTGTATGTACGAATGGGTGAGCAGGCTTAAGTAAGAAATTATAGAATAAGTAAGTAAGTAAGGTTAAGTAAGTAAGTAAGATACAGATAAGAAACAAAAGGTTGTAAAAAAGTACAGTATAAAAAATATCAAGTAGGCCTACTAAGAAAAATAAAATAAGTTAGGTAAGACAGGATAAGTAAGGACAGTGTCGAGTGACACAAAAATTTTTTTAAAAAATATAAAAGTTTTTTTTATATGTTTTTTTCATAAGTAAAAAAAAAGAGAAGGGGACACAGATGTAATAAACGTGCAAAAAGATATTTTTTTATACAAAAAACCGCATGCACGCTTACGTATTATAATGGGTAGAGGTAATAATTTAAGAGGAGGAAATGTAGCTATTTGGAATTATATAAAAATATGGTAGAATTCTTTAAAAATATATTTTTTTCAAAGGTAAAAAGCTCCGTGGTGAAAACGTTTTTAGAAGATACAGAGGTGGTTGAAATAAGATAAAAAATTGGTATTTAAACGCAAAAAAAATTCAGTTTAAAAAAAATGTTACCAAACAAAACAAGTACGCTTAAACGTAAGCAATCGAAAAACTATTAAAAGTGTGAATATGCTCGTAAACGATATCATAGAAAAGATTATTGCAGTAAATGTTTTATAAACACATACGTTAATATTATTAAAGATGATTTGGAATTTTATTAACTAATACTTAAAAGATATGGGAGAATATTCTCTAAACAGTATAAAAGCAGATGTTACAAGTCATGGCGAATATATATTGACATTAAAGTATTTTAACGAATATCTATGTCAGATAATAAGTAGAAAAAAATAGAAGGACATACAGATATTTCTACTTTTTTAAGAGGTTTTGTTATCGATTATAAAGTACGTTTGGTTTATATTCTATTAGTCATGTTAATAAAGGGATATATATGTTGGATATGAATTACCAATAATAAAATGTTGAATTATTATATTTAATAGTGTTACTTCTTTATTTTGAAAAAAAAAGTATATATAAAAAATAAAAAAAAATTCATTTATTAATTAAAAAATGGATTCAATTACTTTTAAAACTTGCCTTAATCAATTTTATAGTACTAAAAAATTAACATCTTTTTAAACAAATAATAGTTTGAAAGATGTTAAAAGGTCATTTTAAATTATTTTTTCGCTTAGGTGCTTATCGCTTAATGCGGTAGTGGTGTAGTGGTAGAGCGCTCGCTTCATAAACGAGAGGTTCCGAGTTCGATCCCCACCACGTCCCTGGTAGTATCGCGCTCAACTCGTTTCTCCGCGCAGCGGCCTTGTTCGTCAAGGTTCGTGTTTCGGAGTTATAGAGTTGAGAGAGGGTTATAGCCACAAATAAGTAGCCTCCTCGTCTGTAGTGGCCTTCTCGGCCTTGAGGAGGTGAATTAAAATTAAAAAAAAAAAAAAAAAAAAGGTGGTAGCAATCAAATAAAAGTAACTCGTTCAAACAATATTGCAGATGTTGATTTTATAAACGATTATTATTTAAACGATGATGAAATGCTTAAATATTATCATAACTCATACTAAAAACAATTTAGTATGAGTTATGACGATTTTGTATCAGCTATAAAAGATTCTTTATCAATATGGTTGTTACGTTACACTGCCAAATATAACTAACGTTTTAAAAGTGGGTTCTTTATTGAAGAGTTTAAGAAAAGTATGGAAAGGAAAAAAATCAAAAGCCAATGCAACAAAAACATCAGTTGTAATTCAACCACCCGTTAACCCATATAAACCTCCAGATAAAAGTTTTGAAGTTTATTAAATAAACTTGTAATGTTTTTATGTTCATTTAATAAATATAATTAATACACAAAGTAAATTTTTGTTGTTCTTTCTGTAAGTAGTTAGAGAATGCCGGTTCTAGCTCATTTTCATTTTCAACCATATTTTCAACCATATATTAACATTAATATATGGTTCAATGTTATACCTATTGTGTATAAATTATTTAGATAAGAAATAATTTTTTCAATTTTTAAAAATTGAAAAAAATTGAATTTTTTTAAATAAGTGTTAATTTTTTATTTCTTGTCGAAAAAAGGTGTGACGTCATATGTCTTTTTATTTTGTTCTTACGCATAGTAGAAACATTGTCCTATTAGTGCAGCATAGCTCCCAGATTGTCCAACTTGTGCATCACCAGAGTTGAGTGTCACTACCATTCTTCTACCTCTACCAACGCTAGGCATACTTTCAGATGAATTAAAGTTTCTATAAAATGAAATTGTAGTTGTTGGACCAATTATACTACTTGATTGATTCAACAATCCTGATACTTCATTATTAAATAAGCTTACATTAGATCCATTCCATGAAGAGAGATAAAAATCTTCTAAACCTCATGAAGCGTAGATACATCGACTGTTAACATCATATCCAGAAAATGTAGTATATCCATTATTATTATAAGGAGTCCAAGGTTGAATGACAGAGTTAGTATTGGTAGGAGCACCATATCCATCATAGATGCAAACTCTAGATTCCCACCAGTCTCCAGATCCTCCAACAACATGCATTCTAATGTATTTCAAATACACTCCGTTTCCATTATCCATAACATTCATTAGCATATATTCACTACCATAAGTTGTATTTACATATCTAAATGTTGTTGAGTACAACTTAATAGATGAGATAGATCGAGGTATTAGAGGATTAATACTAGTTAATGTTTGTTGTAACGATGAAAGTTCTTGTGATAAAAAGTTGCAACCAAAAGGTCACTGAATTGCCTGTTCTATTGTATAATTGTATATTTAAACTTGATGTAAAAGGAAGATCAAATGTAAAATATCCTCCTAATGCACTTGTACTAAATACATTACACCCTTGTAAAGGGTTTGCATAATAGGGTCCACCAAGTGGTGCAATTAATAAATCACAAGCTAAAGCTGTATTATTAATACCTACACCATCTGTTACAATAGAATCATTACCTATGCAAAGTACATTGTCAGCATATATTTTTAAAAACAAGTTACCTGGTACAGTATTAGGTGCAATAGTAGATCCTGTAAATGCAATCCACAGTTTTTTTAGAATTCCTGAACTACCACTTTAGCTAAAATTGGTATATGATCCTGGAGTTGCATAGAATGCTTGAGTTTTTTGTCCAAAGCATATTAAACTTGTATTGGGAATGATATCTAAACTTTGATTTTGCATATCATCAACGTAGCTCTTTGTTGCAGCATCTTGTGCATTAGTAGGATCAGCTACATTGATGAGTTTATTTGTATTTAAATTTATATTAGCAGTTGCAGGATTATAACCATCAGTTCTTAGATACATACTGCTAGAAGTTTGATTATTATCTACATAATTCTTTGTAGCTGCATCCTGTGCATTAGTAGGATCAACTACATTGATCAATTTATGTGAATTCAAATTTATATTAGCACTCATACTATTAATTCCATCTAGTCTTAGACATGCACTGCTAGAAGTTTGATTATTATCTACATAACTCTTTGTAGCTGCATCTTGTGCATCTGTAGTATCAGCTACATTGATCAATTTATGTGAATTCAAATCAACATCAGTAGTGGCTGTATTGCCAACATTAATGTTGGTATTTAATCCATCTGTTGTGTAACCATACATTGAATTATTACCGGCTATATTCATACTCATTTTTTATATACTATACATATTTTTTTTAATTCAATATAATGATTTTTCAATACTTTGAAAATCAACACCTTCATCAAGCTTTTTTAATACATAAAGGCACAAGTGTCCGCAAAAAGAAGTGTCTCCAAACTGAATTCTTTTACTATTATAATAAACAGGACTGTGTAAATAATGAACAAGTTCAACTGGAGGTGGTAGTGCATAAGAGTCAAAACTTAACTTT